TTGAGATATAGGGGTATAATCGGTGATTTGACAGCAAACGCAATAAAAAACCCAATATAGAATATTATTTCCAATACCACAGGATACGATTGATTAGCCGATGTTTCAAAATTTAATGTTGGTTCATTAGAACCATATAAACCGACACCCAGAACTCCCATTAAGAGAAAAATGGAACCCCCCGTAGTGTACAAAATAAATTTTGTAGCTGAATAGAGACGCTTTTTTCCTCCCCACATGGATAAAAGTAGATAAACGGGAATTAATTCTAACTCCCACATGATAAAAAAAGCAAAAGGTCCCGAGAAGAAAATGATCCTATTTGACCGCTGTACATTGCTAACATCAGGAAATGGAATAATCGAGAATCCCGAGTAACTGGCCAAGCCGCTAAAGTAGCTAAAGTAGTAATGAATCCTGTCAGTAAAATGGGTCCTATAGAAAGTCCATCTATTCCCAATCGCCAGTGGAAATCAAAAAAATCGATCCATTTATAATCCTCCACTAGTTGGATTAATGGATCGTCTGATTGGAAATGATAACAGAATGCATAGGTTGTTAGAAGGAGCTCTAATATACATATACAAATAGTATACCACTTAATTACCCTATTTCCTCTATGGGGAAGAAAGAAAATTAAAGAACCCGCGGCTATTGGCAAAACTACAATTATTGTTAACCAAGGAAAATCATTCGTGGTAATGACAAGATACATTTGAACCAGAAAAACCCGTACTCAAAATATTTTATTTTCGAGTACGGGTTTTTGTCGGTAAAAAAAAATCAAATGGATTCAAGTGGAGTTTTATGGAACGTATCAATAAGCTAGACCCATGCTGCGAGGTGTTTCATGCCATAAATAAACTCGAACACTCAAGAAATCCGTTGGACAAGCGGATTCACATCTCTTACAACCGACACAGTCTTCTGTTCTTGGAGCAGAAGCAATTTGCTTCGCTTTACATCCGTCCCAAGGTATCATTTCTAATACATCTGTGGGGCAAGCTCGGACACATTGAGTACACCCGATACATGTATCATAAATCTTTACTGAATGTGACATGGGATCTATACATTTTTGAACATCACAAAATTTCGATCTAGTAAACTTATAAACGAATCATATATTTCGATACCAGACGAATCAATGATTTATCAGAATTTTTTTAATTAGTTTACTTCTGGATTGACTTATGAAAGAGAACACCAAGATACTTTAATTTCCTACCTTTTTGCAAGCACGATTATATCTTACGTAGCAGACATGCTAAATTAATCAACGATTATTAGAATTTATATAATTAATACTACCTTTACTTATTCAACAAATTCGATTGGTTGATACGAGTTGATTTTCGATTACGATAAATTGACGAAACAATAGCCAGTCCAATAGCTGCTTCAGCGGCTGCAATAGCTATAACAAAAATTGCAAAAATGGTTCCTTTTAATTGACGACTATAAAAAAAAATCAGAAAATGTTACAAAATTTATATTAACTGCATTCAATATAAGTTCAAGACACATAAGGGCTCTAACCATATTTCGACTTGTAATCAATCCATAGATACCGATAGAAAATAAATAGGCACTCAAAATAAGGACATGTTCGAGCATCATTAACCAACTCCTTATTGATCTCGATTTATTTCAATATGAACAACAATTCAACCGATTCGATTGACTCGAATATAACAAGTATGGAATGAATATATTAGTAATAGATCAAACTAAAAGCATTTCTATTTTATACACGAATTCAAATAGAATTGAAGGGAAATAAATGTGATAACCTAGAACAAAATTGGATTTTGATTCTTAGTTCTAAAAATTTATTATTGACGGGCTACAGCAATTGCGCCTATTAAAGCAACTAAAAGAATTATTGAAATGAGTTCAAATGGAAGAAAAAAATCTGTTGATAAATGAATTCCAATTTGTTGACTATTATTTATCAAATCTTGTTCTAGAATCTGGTTTGATCTTGTAGTCCAAATAATCCCGTACCATGACGTATCTAGAATAGTAGTAATTAGTGAAACAAAAATACTTGTACAAACCATCGAAGTAACCCCATCCCCAACGGTCCAAAGATAAAAATCTTTGTGATATTCTGAACCATTCATGAACATCACAGCAAATATGATTAAAATATTTATAGCTCCTACGTAAATAAGAAGTTGCGCAGCGGCTACAAAATGGGAATTAGATAGAATATAGAATAGGGAGATACAAACAAGAACCAATCCCAATGAAAAGGCGGAAAAAATTGTATTGTTAAGTAATACTACTCCCAGACCTCCCAATATAATACCCAATCCCAGAAAAACTAAAAGAAAATCATGTATTGGTCCAGGTAAATCCATTCTATGTAAAATAAGAAATAAATAAATCGAAATATTTCATGACTTTATTGACCTGACCAGGAAAAAGGTGACTCTATATTTTTTTATGAGATTTCTTAATTGTTAATTGAATTCAATCTTAATGAGTGCGTATTAGGTACAGAAATCTCATTCTTTATCCGAAAGGATAGTTTGAAACTATATATTTTGAAATCATTACGAATATGGAATAAAATATAGAAATAGATTTTCTATCCAAATTGAGCCGCGGTTCTCACCAACTAATCAATAGTTTGGATTTTTAGTTATTGACCAAACAAAAACCGTATTCGTTTAGATCAAAACTTAACCTTAGTAATTGGGAATTGCTCTTGAATCAAGGGGTTTAGTCATTTTTTATTTGAGGCGAATTCCAAATTGTTCGAACCGTGGAATCGTCAATTACCGATATTGGTAAACGACCCAAAGCAATTTGATTATAATTCAATTCGTGACGATCATACGTAGAAAGTTCATATTCTTCAGTCATCGATAAACAATTTGTTGGACAATACTCAACGCAATTACCACAAAATATACAGATTCCGAAATCAATACTGTAATTAAGCAATCGTTTCTTTCGAATATCCGTTTCCAATTTCCAATCAACAACAGGTAGATCTATAGGACATACGCGAACACATACTTCACAAGCAATGCATTTATCAAATTCAAAGTGGATTCGGCCGCGGAAACGCTCCGATGTGATTAATTTTTCATAGGGGTATTGAATAGTTACGGGTAAACGATTCGCATGGGATAAGGTAATCATGAAACTTTGACCAATGTATCTTGCAGCCCGTATTGTTTGTTGACCATAATTCATGAACCCAGTTACCATAGGGAACATATCGCGAATATCTATAAAAAATTTTATGCCTGTTTCTTTCTCTTGTTTGAGACAAGTCGTGGTATTCCTTTACAGTGACATAAGTTGGGAAGAAGTTGTTAATAATAGATTACCTAGAGAAATAGGTAAAAGAAATTTCCATCCAAGATTTAATAGTTGGTCCATTCTCAGCCTCGGTAAAGTCCATCTTGTTGTGATAGAAATGAACAAGAACAAATAAGTTTTAGCTAATGTAATAAAGATGCTAATTATTGTTCCAAAGACTATACCCGCTTTATTTATTTCAAAAAGCTCAGGAACGAGTATGTACAGAATAGAAAGATTCCAACCGCCCAAGTAAAGAACTGTTACAAATAATGAAGAAACTAGTAGATTTAGATAGGAAGCAACGTAAAACAAACCAAATTTGATACCTGAGTATTCGGTTTGATAACCCGCTACTAACTCCTCTTCCGCTTCTGGTAAATCAAAAGGTAATCTTTCACATTCCGCTAGGGAAGAAATTAGAAAAATGATAAACCCTATAGGTTGACGCCACAAATTCCATCCCCAAAACCCATATTTTGACTGTGCTTCAACTATATCAACTGTACTTGAACTGTTAGATAATCATAGTCGGTGATAACATCACTGTTTCCATCGCTATTACAGAACCGTACATGAGATTTTCACCTCATACGGCTCCTCGAGGGTCACAAATAAATCTAAGGACGCATTCAATATTATTTATCTTGATATGTTTGTAGGATAGATAGAGTCAAAATCTATCGTAAGGTCCCGAATTAGACCAATGGAATTCTGTCTGCTCTATTTATAATAAATAAAAAAAGTGCTTCTGAATTGATCTCATCTTTTAATAATTTTTCTTTTTTTGTTGTGTATGAGTAATAACTTAATCTTTCAATAAAATACTTTTTGTAGCAATATCCATACATATTTCAACCTACCATTTTCAATTACGAAAAAGAATTAGACATTACATTAGTTAAAGAATTAGACATTACATTAGTTCATGAATCATGATAAAAAGCCCGTCTCTCTAAATATGTATATAGGAAAGAAAGAATAAAAAAAGATTTTTCCTTTTTTCTATTGCAATGAAATTCTTTCTATTTTATTTATTTTTTCATTCCTATTCTCCTTTCTCAGAAAAGGGGGGCTTTCAAAAAAAATAAATAGAGGATTACTTCGTTCCTGATAGTTATTTACCGAATCGGTGGATAGGAGCATACTCTGGATCGGAATCGTGGGGAGTACTGCTTGATCGTTTCTACCAACTTAAAGTCCCAATTAGAATTCCTTTTATGCAGAAATATCCTGTTGGATAACTTACATAATCTCTATTACTAATCCTTTGTGTACCTTGGTGTTCCTAACCATCCACTCATTTTTGCCCAATCCCCCATTATAATAATACATGTCTGGTAATAAATAATAAAAACCCCATCCAGTTGATCTTTTGAACCCGCTTCAAGACATGATGACTAATCAACCAATCTTGGGGTAAGCAGCCTCTACTGTTTATGTTTACTTTCACTTAACTCTTGTACATAGGAAATGAGACTCAATCTTTTTACTGCGAATTTAAAAGCTGTTTTTCTCACTCATATAACTATCTGGTTTAATTCATCAACCCAAATGTTGAATAAAAAATATGAAAATATGTATTCAACGCATTTAACTTCTTTCCTATAAAGCAAGGAAATAGGGAAAGTTTTTGTCTCAACGAATCACACGTAGAGATATTGATAACACACATAGAGTTA